TCTATAAGTATTCCCATGCAGTATTATCACATTGCCCATTGTTATGATGATACTGTCCTCACACAGAACCACACTCCCCTTTATCACAGTACCCACCCACATATCAATGAGATTTTCATATCAAACAAAAACATCCACATGTTCACATTGCAGGGTTGAAAATACCCACACGTCTTTGTGTTTGAGGATCTCACAATACATTGTTTGAAGTGCAGAGTTCTCTCATGCAGACAGTGTGGTCTGCAGAGCTGCTGTCTCTGTAGAGATGAATGGACTGCTTCATCACTCTTTGATAGCATTAGCTATTAGCCCAGGCTTTGATTAGTACAATGACATTAGCCTCCTACATCCACATTGTCACCGATACGAGTGGGTGAATGTGAAACCTCCACCACAGAAGCACAAACCGAGACTTATGAAGTGCTTCAGGGTGCTTATTAACAAATTTTTGAATGCAAGACAATAAAAGTTGGTTAAGAGAATAATTAAGCACAATGCTACTGCTATTAATAGCCAACGAGAACAATGAAGAATATGGTTCACAATGAAGAATAAAATGAATGAAAAATGTTCCATTTATGCATATTATGAATGTATATGCATTATTCTGCCCCCACTCCCAGCACGCAAATGGTATGAGTCATTCTACAATTTAGGGTACATTTCATGTCCATTGATGATAATTATATACATTTTTTCTAACTATTTTCTAGAGAAAAATATTTATTTGATCCATAAAGGAAAATCATATTATAATCTCACAAATTTGTTTCAGTTTGTTTGAAATTGCCTTGATGTCTCTTAAAATTACAGTTTTTACAGTGTCCCAATTGAGTGGGTCAGAATGACTTTCTTTCTTGTGCGGAACACAAAATAAGATATTTTGAAGAATGTTGATAACAAAACAATTTAGGTTCCCATTGACTTCCATTGTATTTTTTGTCAGTATACAGTGGAAGTCAAGGAGGAACTGTGACTGTTTGGTTACCAACAGTCTTCAAAATATTTTCGCTTACATTCCACATCAGAAAGAATGTTAGACATTTTTAGAAGGACATGAGTAAATTATGACAGAATTTTCATTTTTGTGGACTATCCCTTTAAAGATAATTAGTAATTGTATGAGATGTTATGCAAAAAGGCAGATTTAAAAATAAAATCACATGGATATCCGCAAAAAAAATATGATTTAAAAAAACAATCACTATATATATATATATATATATATATATATGGCAAAACAGATACATGTTACTTGAAGTGCAGAACTCAAATGCCCATAGTTAAATTTAATAAAACATCCTTTCTCATAACATCCAAATGGTGTTTAATGGCAACAAGCAGATGTTACACTGATGAAATATAAACTGAAACAAATAGTAATTTTATTTGAGTAAGCATTATTGTTTTTGTATTTTGTCTTGATGTGAAAAGTACCCCAATTATAGAACGAGCCCTAGCATACTAGTGACATACCCATTGAATGCAATATAATGGACGATCCCTACTCTTCACCATGCACATATCAAGTGAGCCTTCAGAGGGTGTGGTGGGCATCTAACAACCTCCACATCTCTGAAGCCCATAGGAATGAAGGCATCTCTCTCTTTCTTCATCAATCAGTTCTTCTACTGTGTCTGCAGCCCCTTTTTGTATCTCCGCCCCTTCTCTCTTTCTCTCTCCCTTTCTCTCCCAATTGATGGATTTGCGGTGTAGTTAAAACACATGCAAATGAGACAGCTGGCATCACACAAACCATGTGACCTGTCAAGGTGGGGGTGGGTTCAAAGACACGCTGCAGCAGGGAACCCTCTTTACACACATGCACACACACCCTCCCTCACTCGCTCCCTGGAATAATCCCTCCACCTCCTCCATGCCACCTTTTTGTGCTTTCATTTTTTTCTTAATCTGAAAGAAAGAAAAGGAGCGGTGATGATAACCGAACTAAGTCTGGGATCTTCACCTGATTTGTGTTCTTCCTTAGTGCAAATGTTTGCTCATGCATGAAGCTAATCACATATGTGGCCGTGCTCCCACATGCACATATGCCTGCACAAACAGGCCCTGTGTGTGGTGTGTGTGTGTGTGTGTGTGCGCGTGTGAGAGTTTGACAGGATCAACAGCAGGTATCCAGCAGTAGGTCTGCTCCAGAAAGGCTGCCTGCTCACTCACACTCACACAGACACAGACACATTCCAGCAGACTGCCCTGGCCTTGTGAAAATAGCCTTTTGCCAGGCTTCTTTCTCTCTCTCTGACTCTGACGATGGGTGTTTTTGTAAATCGAACTTAGTATGAATGCATGTGGATGCTTATGAATATGAGCAGGCAGCAATACATAAACAAGTTCATTATAATTAATGTTAATAATGATATAATTATGATTATGTTTATATCTTTTTAAAATATGCAACTATTAAATCATCTATATTTCAATTAGGCAGTTACATTTTGAGGTATAAATCTTTAATTATTAAAATCTATTTTTCATCACAAAAAATACATGACAAAAGGTTAAATTATATATATATATATATATATTTTACAGTTTATTTGAGGATAAGAGGCATGAAATTATTCTTGTGATTCAATGAGTTGACAATATGCTAGCAGGGAGCTAAATATATAATAAGTAATAAAAATTATATTTATATAATTTATATATTTATGTATATAAACAAACATATTAATAACTAAATATAATTATATATATATATATATATATATATATATATATATATATATATATATATATATATATATATATATACACTCACCGGCCACTTTATTAGGTACCCCATGCTAGTAACGGGTTGGACCCCCTTTTGCCTTCAGAACTGCCTCAATTCTTCGTGGCATAGATTCAACAAGGTGCTGGAAGCATTCCTCAGGGAGTTTGGTCCATATTGACATGATGGCATCACACAGTTGCCGCAGATTTGTCGGCTGCACATCCATGATGCGAATCTCCCGTTCCACCACATCCCAAAGATGCTCTATTGGGTTGAGATCTGGTGACTGTGGAGGCCATTTTAGTACAGTGAACTCATTGTCATGTTCAAGAAACCAATTTGAAATGATTAGAGCTTTGTGACATGGTGGAAGTAGCCATCAGAGGATGGGTACATGGTGGCCATAAAGGGATGGACATGGTCAGAAACAATGCTCAGGTAGGCCGTGGCATTTAAACGATGCCCAATTGGCACTAAGGGGCCTAAAGTGTGCCAGGAAAACATCCCCCACACCATTACACCACCACCACCAGCCTGCACAGTGGTAACAAGGCATGATGGTTCCATGTTCTCATTCTGTTTACGCCAAATTCTGACTCTAACATCTGAATGTCTCAACAGAAATCGAGACTCATCAGACCAGGCAACATTTTTCCAGTCTTCAACTGTTCAATTTTGGTGAGCTCTTGCAAATTGTAGCCTCTTTTTCCTATTTGTAGTGGAGATGAGTGGTACCCGGTGGAGTCTTCTGCTGTTGTAGCCCATCCGCCTCAAGGTTGTGCGTGTTGTGGCTTCACAAATGCTTTGCTGCATACCTCGGTTGTAACGAGTGGTTATTTCAGTCACTGTTGCCCTTCTATCAGCTCGAACCAGTCTGGCCATTCTCCTCTGACCTCTGGCATCAACAAGGCATTTCCGCCCACAGAACTGCCGCTCACTGGATGTTTTTTCTTTTTCGGACCATTCTCTGTAAACCCTAGAGATGGTTGTGCGTGAAAATCCCAGTAGATTAGCAGTTTCTGAAATACTCAGACCAGCCCTTCTGGCACCAACAATCATGCCACGTTCAAAGTCACTCAAATCACCTTTCTTCCCCATACTGATGCTCGGTTTGAACTGCAGGAGATTGTCTTGACCATGTCTACATGCCTAAATGCACTGAGTTGCCGCCATGTGATTGGCTGCTTAGAAATTAAGTGTTAACGAGCAGTTGGACAGGTGTACCTAATAAAGTGGCCGGTGAGTGTATATATATATATATATATATTTAAAAAATATATATATATAATTACAAGTAATAAACATTATATTTATATAATTATATATTTATTTATAAAGAAATATATTTATAAATAGATATAATTATATATGTGTGTGTATATATACTGTACATATATATACTTTAAAAAAATATGCAACAATAAATTATTTATATTCCAGTTGTAGGCAGTTATTTGAGGTATAAATCTTTAATAATTCAAATCCAATTTTCATTAAAAAAATGTGATCAATACAAACAATAATTATTAAATTATTCTTTTTTTTACAGTTTGTTTTATGGATTTGAGGATAAGAGACATTCAATTATACACTTCTGATTGAATGAGTTGACAATGCACTAGCTGGAAGCTCTCTGAGTGACACTTCTTTTCAATGAACTAATAAGAAAAACCCCCAGATAAAATGATAAAATCAAATATGTATTCTTCCTGAATAAAAAAAAAAGATAAAGCCATCACATATGCGCCATGAGGTTTGGGACGCAAGCTTCTGCTTCTAATTAAAAAGACACAATGATTAATTATTGTCATTTTTTCTTTGTAGATACATTTGCTGCCTCATGAAAAAAAAAAACCTTTGTTTTATACCCTCTGATCCTCAAAATCACAGAAAAAAAGAACAAACAATAATAGAGCACAAAAAAATTACATTGTGTTTCAAGGTAATCAATTCATTAATGATATACAGAGTCTTGACTTTGCATTTTTAAACCAAAAACACATGATGTTTGTATAAGCCAACACTTTTCATAACTAGTTTTACTCTGGTCTGATATTTTCACATCTCCCATATCTAAAGGCCAGGAAATGATGAAACAGGAAAGACACAACTTAATTCTAGAATAATGTTCAACGAAGTAGCTCAGTTCCCTGAGAGAATGCCAACGTGGAGGGCTGTTGATTTGGTTCTGACTGTCTTTATGAGGAATGGAAACATAAGGGCGGAGTTATGTTTTATTCTGTGGTAAGGAGAGATCGACTTCCAATGGTTTACTGTGGCAGAGAAAAGCAGATACAGTAGATGTGGTGTTGTTTGTAGATCTAGATGCTGTGCGTTTCTCAAGATTGCAAGATCTCTTTTAAGAAGTAGCTGTGTTAAAGGTCCGAGCAACAGGTTTTCGGCTACCTGCACAAAGACAGTTGATTATTTTTTATATTATATTATTATTAAAACACAATAAATACAGTAATTTGCTCTCACCTCTGGGTCCAAAATCTCTCATATAGCAGTTAGTGCAGTATGGCTTCTCATCATGCTGTATAGAGATGTAAAAAACAGTGACAATCAAATTCTGGTCAGTGTAACACCTCCTCAATGCATGACATGCCTGCATGTCATTATCATCAGTTTACAGTGTTTGGTATTATGTATGCATTAAAAGACAATACAGCATATGATAGAGTGCACATATGTATACCTCTGCATGCTGACCAGGTGTTAGCTGTCTTTTACACCTGTGACACTTCAAGCATAATGGGTGATAATCCCGTCCCAATGACCTCTTCTTCTCACCTGTATGAATCAAAGGTCCAAGTTTAAAGGTATATTTCATCCAAAAATCAAACATGTTTTCATTCAACCTAATAAAGTAGTAAATTAGAATCGGTGTTATTTTAGTAGGCTATTATTCATATGCTATTGATTATTAGTATTGATTCATATTTTGAATTAGTTAGAATTTTTGTATTTTCAACTTTAGTCATTTTATTGTGCTTTTGTCGTTATTATTGTTTTTTAATCTATTAAACTTTATTTTTTTTTTAGTAATTATTTTAGAACTTAAACTTTGTTTACGTTTTTATATCTAATATTTGTTTTATTTTTTCAGCCCTTACAGAAAAGGGTTTTTAATAGTTTTAGATTTAGTTAACAAAAACAACACTGATTTGAAAATGTTTTTTTTTTTTACTGTGATACCAACGTGTATGAACACAATAATGTATATTCAGTCACCATGACATCAAAATTGATAACATTTACATCCTTAATGCATTTTCCTGATCTTATTGTGCACGGCTCATGTTGGTGCGTGTTGTTCTGAAGATAAAAAAATTTTTGTGTCAGTAATCTTGAGTTAAATTATTCTTGCTCATCCCTGAAACGACTCAAAGAAGAATAATTTAGACTTGCCCTTTAGTGTGGTTATAAGGTTTATTTGTTTATAGTGGTATAGACTTGCCTCATAGACGTCTATTAAAAAGTGCAATATTATAAATACATCTTTCTTTCTTTTTTTACATACTGAAGAATGAGTCAAAATGATTGCCTGTTATAAATAATAATAATTCTATTAGTTAGGGGATTCAGAGTGTGAATCTGAACTTAGATTCCACTCTTTGAATTCTTCCATCTTGGACTGATTTCACATTCATTTTTGGATTGTATTCACATTCTGAGTTCTAGATACACCCTTTTATTACCCTTTCATGTGGGCCTAGAACGAGCCCTCCTACTGAAACCCTGACCTTAACCATAGGACATGAAACCTCTAGGTTGAACCAGCATCAGACTGAAACTGAACCAGCTACCAACATATTGGTCAGCTTTTCTGTTCCTGGCAGAATCAACAACCACCTCAATAACTGAAGGAGCTTTATTCTTCAGTCTTGACGCTGAAAGCTGACTGGCAGCTACAGGATTTTTCTGTCCAAATTCTCCTCTTTCTTCAAGTGTCCATTGGTTTCTGCATTGCTATCTGCCAATTTAAGCAGTCAAGCCTCTTTCGCTCTGGCATATTCCACTTCCTGCCACAGGCAGACACTTCCTGTGCTCGTGTGACGCATGTCGTGAGGCGCTGATGGCGGTTAGGAGACTGCAGGCTGATTAACTCTACACAAATGCATACAGATAAAGGCCTACACACACTTAGTTACACAACAACTAGTTTGTTTCATATAGCAAAAGGCAGAATAGCTACTCACAACTTAGCATTTAGCATGCTCTGCGATGACCTTTTTACAACGCCCTACTGTTCATATAAACGTTAACACACAATTAGACATGAAAACCCAAAATTTGGGTACAATATAATCCATATACTATTGAAATACCTCAACAGCAAGTCAAAATAATGAGCACTTTTAAGTCAAAACAGAAGCTAATGTGAAATGTTTGCATCTAAACACATTACATCAAACAGCTCAACACTTTATATTGACGTTTATAATACCTCAATATCATCTTAATCAGTATGTTAAAAATGGTAAGCATGTTAAAAAATGCATGTTAAAATGGATCCCTCCAACCCCCAGATGCCACTCACCAAAATAAACAGGTTTCCCACATATAGGACAGAAGCTCACCATGGTTGTAGCAGATCTGTAGTAGTTTTGATGCACAAGATGTTGAGATGCAGGAAATGTGTGAGCGTCTCAACTGTGACAGCCTCTCGGTACAGCAAAGGATGTGGCAAGAGGTGCAGTGACAGGAAGCAAGAAATGATTTCAAAAGAAAATATGCTCAACAATTCGAACAGTCAGAAGACAGAGAGAAGGAAAATGTTGGTCAGAAGTGTGTGTGGGTGCTGCTGTGATATGATGAGTCTGTCATAGCAGGGTTGGACTTAAGTCAGTCTTGATGTTATAAAGAGACATCATTCACACTTCTGCTGTGGCCAGTCATTGCGGTTTGAAATCAAAGATGATGTCTTGGGCCGTGTGAGGTCATCAGACTTGTCGGAGTCTGTTATGAAATGAAACCTTGTGGGTTGTTTGCTGGATGCGAGTCAAAGAAACAACAGAGAGGGAGATTGAGAGGGACAGAGAGAACGAGAGAGACACAGATGTCAGCCGCTCAGATTTCATGTGTTGTCATGGTCGCCGCTTCTCAACCCCTCGATCTGTCCGCTCTGGCTTTTTCATCCTCTTTCTCTCCATCCGAGAGATTAAAAAGCTCCAGTGTGGGAGAACGGGAGTTTAGGAGAAACCCAAAACTGCTTCCGTGCACACACACACACACACACATATAGAGATGACATCACCAAAAGGCGCTCGATTGGATGAGCACAGAAAGCCGTGAGAAGGAGAATCATTGAAGCCGAGACTGAGACTGTGTTTTGTGTATGTGCGTGTTGAGATATAAAGGATGAATAAGAGTCTGGCTTAAGTTGCAATGCACTATTGCCCTCAGTTTAGCATGATTTATACACATACACACAAGTCCTCCACAATGCGTGCATTGGAAGGGAAAATACTTCATTTGAATAGCTTTGTTATGGTTAACAGTTCAATCTGTAATTCCTGCTAATGTTTTAATCTATATAATAAATGGTAAATGCTCACCTGGGGTGTTTCGCTGCAACTGATTTGTAGATTGCTGAATGATTACTGTTGTATGATTTCTGAAGGATCTTGTGACACTGAAGACTGGAGTAATGATGTTGAAAATTCAGCTTTGCCATCACAGGAATAAATTATATTTGATTTTTATACAGAAAACAGCATTTTTTTCACAATACAGTTTTTTTGATTTCTTATCAAATAAATACAGCCTTGGTGAGCATAAGATACTTTTTTCAGAAACATGAAAAATTCGTTCCACCCTCAAACTGCTGAATTGTAATTTATTTCATTTTAATAACATGACACGTACCATAGAGGGTTAAATATAGTGGGTTTCTGTTGGGCAGGTAAGCATCAGGCATGAGTTTCTTCTCAGCATTTGGTCCAATGGTTACTCTACACTTGAGTATGCTGAACCAACTTCATTCAGTGAGGGATAAAAAAGCATTTCCCATCAAGCCTAACTGGGAACTTCACCAAACAGCAGAGTCAGAGCCCTGTCCACATGAGCGCTTGTTCACACAGACCGCACACACGCACATGCACACACACACACACACACACACACACACACACACACACACACACACACACACACACACACACACACACACACACACGTACGTCTACTGCCAAACTACACAGAGAAGAGCAAAACAGGGTTAGAGGAAGGGAGGGCTTCTCTTTCTGTCCTTTTTTCATGCTGGTTTGGTTTGGCTCTGAAAAACTAGCCTAAATCCTCTTCTTTCTGGCTGAGAAATGGAGGAGAGGGGATAGAATAAGAGTAGGAGAGAGTGGGGTAAGCTTTGTCGCCCTCTTAATCAAGGCAACTGTGCGCAATTTTTGCTATGTGAATACATATTTAGAAAGTACTCACCATATACAGTTGCCAGTGACTGATGAACACAAGAAAAGTGGCAATCATTTTTTTTTATTCAAAACTGTTGTTTGCATTTCAAAGTACATTTTCTACATTGCACATACAATTAATTTTAGGTCAAAGCAAATTTATTCAGGTCTGAAAATATACATTATACATGTTGGGGAATTGCCAATGAACATGTAAATTATTTGCCTAAAGATTAGCCATGAATTATTAAATGAAGCATCCTAATGGTAGCTGTGGGATAAAGTGAGTCCGATGCTTTGGGGTAAGTTGTGTCAGTGTCTCAGTGTAGTGAAAGCTTTGTTTCGAATGTAGGAAAAATTATTACACAATGCTGAAAAAAGTTTCACTATATTCAAATATTCTGAATAATACACCTTTTTTTGTATTAGACCTGGTTGGTTTATGAAAATGGTAATATACAGTGTGCAGCAAAATAGGACTTTGGAAGTGTAATAGTACAGGGGTTTTCATACTTTTTCATACTAGGACCAATTTATAGAGCTATAATTATATGAAAGCTGTATAATAAGGGGACCCCCCCCCCCCCCCCATTAGAGTTAAATATTCAAAGAAAATGAAAGTAATAATAATAAAATAAATATAACATGAATCAATTTCTTAATTAATTAATTGAATTAATTAATTTTTCTATTTTAGTTGACATTGTTTTATTTTCCTTGCCATAATATTACATCAGGTATGCATTCATTTCATTGCATTACCATAATGCTAATGGTAGCTATAAAAATGAAGTTTAAAGATAAATAGAGCGTATATTTTTGCTTTCTTGCAGTGCAGGTCAGTGCAGTGATAACATATTTTTGTAGGCCCACCCTGGTTCCCTCAACAAAAACCCAACAGGACTTTTCCATTGGCTTTCGGATTATTGCTGAAAATAAGCTCTGTGTCTGTGACCAACAAAAGTTTATGATTCTTACGCGTTTTGTTCATCATGACAAATTAACACAACTTTTATGAACTTAGAAGCCTAAAAACAATTGACAGAATTAAAAAGCTAAACATGGGCTATAAAAAAAACTACACCACGGTTAATTTACTTTGACTTCACCATCACTAAGCTCCTGACAACTCGTTCAATCTTTATTTAAAAATAATTTTTTCCTAAAAGTTTAAAAATAGTTTGATTATAAACACAGAAAGTCTGTGAAAGCAGAGTGAGCTTTCCTGTTCAGAGTGATGACGTTTAATGTTCCCTACAACCGCTGTAGTCATTTAGCACATGCTAAACAATCATAAGTGGGGAAGGAGAATTTATTTTGTCATAGATATTTTCAATAAAACGTGAAAATATCTTTTTGTGTTAAACACAGAACTTATTTCAGACATTTAACCAAAATCCCATTCAAATAAACCCATTGACTCCAGGACGATGGAACCAGCTAAAATGTGCAAAAATTTTGACTTGTTTCTGGGTTTTAACCTACAAAAATCTTCCCTGCAGTGCTCTTTTGTCATGACACTTATAGTTTATATTATTAGTTTATTAGCCACTTTAACCGATTTGGTGGGTTCATTCAATGAAGAATTCGTCAGACTAATTCAACATGAATTTCTGAGTTTCATTAAAATAGCTTACTCATAATTCACGATTCGTGATTATGCAGGTTTGCCTTTTATGGGACTTTATGTTTGAAAAACAGTCCTTATGATAGTGACATGCATTAGTAACATGTCATAAAGCATGTTTATATGGACAGTATGTGGCATGTTAACTTACAGAGCTACAGGCCTGAGACAAGCTGGCATGTATGTATATATGACTGTGTGTGTTGTTGTAAGTCTCAGTAGGTTTTGGCATGACATCCATGGGCCATGTGACTTGAAAGCAGACAGCGAATCTACGCCCGACGCACTATAGAAAACTTGGCAAACACACACAACCTCTGATGTTAACGGGGAAGACGCGTCATGGGACGCCTAGACCAGGTTCCCACTATTTCTACTCCAAAAGACATCACAGCGATCCCAAATGCATCTGTCCAGCCAAATGATGATGTCTAACTTTTCAAAGACAGCTTAAAGACATCCCAGCTGCTTGTACCAGAATGCACCATTTTTGAAGAACCTTTAGGTTTTGTAGGCATGTTTTATGTTTACAGGCCCACCAGGTCTTCTACTAATTAAGGCTGACTACCAACACCCAAGTCGATGTGTCTTAATGAAAACCGGCTTTCAGCTTACAGTGTGAAAATGTGGTAGTTTATAATTGCATTCAGAAAAGAGAGCGAGTTAGCCAGCAGAACGAAAGACTCTTAAATGTGTTGATTCTTGCCTTTGCATTCTTGGCATTTCTCTTCAACCCTTTTCTGTCTTATAGTTTTTTCCTCTCGGTTCTCATGCGAAGCGGCCAATGCCAATTCCCTCAGATTTGGTTTGGCTTAAAACGCAAAGAGGCCGGGAGCTCTCCTCCCTTCTCCCTCTCTCATTTCCTGTGCCCCCCCCCCCCCCCCCCCCCTTCTTTCTCTCGCTCATTCTCACCCAGTCTGCTCTCTTCCTCCTTGCTCGCTCTCTCTTTTTTGAGACTGGTTTTAGAGGGTTCCAGTAATTCCTTTGTCCTTTAAATAAATAATGCAAAGCGCAGCTTCCTCTGGCTTATGTACGTATGCACATTTCACCGCATTACAAAGATCTCTTGATGAATAAAATCTGCCTGGTCAAGGTTAAGGAAAAAGGGTGCTGGGAATGGGCACTGGATACAACAATTGAAAACATGAAGTTATACTGTAAAATATTCAGTAAAGTATTAATAAAAGAGTTCTATACTTAAAAGCAAGTTTTTCCACTAGTTTTTTTTTTGTGTGTGTGTGTTTAATATTGAAACAGATCAGAATCTGGGTGCATGTTAATTTTTAATTTGAGCGTATCAGGATTTTAAATCATCTGCCCTGCCTGAATTTTAATTATCCCTGAATATTAGTGAGGAAATGCACGCTATGCCCCCCCTCGCCATCTCACCCTTTGTTTCTTCTCTCTCTCCTCATACAGCTGGTGTATGCAGGGTGCCCCTCCCCCACCATTTGAACAAACCAATAAGAGGGCATATCAGCCGATCCCCCCTTACACACACTCTCACACACCTCCCTACCCCCACCCTCTCTCTACCCATCCCCCTATATCCCTCTCTCTATCACTCCCCCATATTTCCTTTCAAAGCAGCCCCTCTTGCTGCCATCTCTCGCCCAATCTTTAAATTATCACTACAGAACACGCCTACTATATGTGTAGTATCTATTCTATGCGTTTCAATGTAACCAGGAAAGATCTTACTTTGGGCTCAGGGTTTAATAAAGAGATAAAAGGACATTATTAAATAGTGCATCATAAACGCATTCTGGGAATGATGTGCATGTGACTTTCAAAAGAAAGTGAGATAAAAACAGTGTGTCAAGGTGGGATTATAAAATGGGACTCACACACCCACACAACACAGCTCCTATGTGACTCATTGAAGACTTCTTGAAGAAATTGAAAAATGCAGATCTGTTAACTCATTAAATGTCTTATTTAACCCAGAACAGATTTATTTCAGGGTTAAATCAGTTCATCTAAATAAAAGAAAGGCGCTAGGTTAAAAAGCAGTCCCTCTATATAGGCTACTATCTCAGGACATAATAGCCTGCTACTACATGTTCACATAAATTTTGATACTTAAACTAAAATAGATTAATCCAAGACCAAGGGAAGTTAATCTAGAATCATGTCACTTAAAAGTAAACATCACACTTGTGTCAGTTTCATTAAATCTTCTTTTTGCCTGGTCGACTTCTATGTCCACACACTATTGCTACAAGCCAAAAAGAGGCGTGATCTGATCAGGTTTAAATGTCCAACAACAAGCCCTAGAGAATGGCCCGTGTTAACCACTACAGACGAAGCAAATCAAACGTTTGCATTAAATCGAAAAATTGCAGGGGATATTTAAGTGAATAGAGGCAGTTTACACGTGTTGTCAAGATAAATTGGAGAAGCATCTAACATTTGTAAATTATTCACGCGTTTCCCCTTCAGCGGCGCATCTCTCTATTTTGCATTCCCTTCAGTGCTCCATCTAGACCAGAGCAATAGAAACACGATCGATTTAATAGGCATCACCTATTTAAAAATAAATAATGTTAATAATAACAATTAATGTTAAAATAAATGTATAAATATATGAAATATATAATAAATGAATAAATATATAATAATAATAATAAATAAAAGAAATATATTAATAAATAATTAAAATAATATTGTTATATTTGTACATTTATTTCAGAACTTTATTTTAATTTGAACTTTATGGAAGTTTGGCGTCTAAAATGTTTTAAAAATGCTTTAAATATCATTAAAGGGACAACAAGGCATTTTATTGATATTTTTATAATAGTTTTGCATGTAGTAAGTAGGACACGCCTAGAAGGAATTAAGTTACTAATTAAAATAATATTGTTTATATATTTGTACATTTATTTCAGAAATGTATTTAATTTGAACTTTATGCCATTAAAGTTGCTAATAATAAGAAACAAAAACAGCACAAGATAATGATATAAATAATATATTTTTTAAATAGTCTACTGTTGGACAAAAGGGTAGGCTAAACTTAAAGACTAAATAAATTTCAGTCTAAATATGGGGACATTTGAAGATGATGACTAGGCTATTTGATTGGCATATTTCCTGTTTCAATCATTAATCAAGCAAATCAATAAGTAGGCTATATGTATAGTATGCTAATAATGCTCTATTAGGAGCATTAATCACAGAGCAAAAATCACTATTAGGCCTATTAGTTTCGAATAAAATGTTAAGACATTTCTCTTTGTACTTACACTGTTTAAGGATAAATAAGTAATATTTTTCTGAACTACTTTAATTTGTAGCATATAGGCCTAGGCCTACATATTGGAGTAGGCCTATTCATTCAAGTCTTAGACACACATTGCTAAAAAAATATGTTAGAGCTAATGATCCATAAATATAGCAATAGCTGAAGCAAACGCACACCATTTTGTAGGCTACCTTTACAAAGGCTGCTTGTCTGCCGAAATGTCGGATATAATACATTTAAGTGAGAGTGCAGTTGTCTTTTGATTGGTTTAAGAATGGTTTCCCTTTTATAATTATAGGAGTTTGTCTTTGTTTTCAGTTGAAAATTGTGGTTTGTGAAATGGGCCTCGTTTGTGAACAATTTGGGTTAGAGAGAGCAATAAGTGCCATTCTGTTTGCACTTCATCTAGTGCGGTGACTGACGCTCTGTGCTCGGCTTCTCTGGTCTGCTGTGCTGGAGCTGTGAAATCGCGCTGATGGTCTGTCACATTATTTCTCACTGACACCGTCTGAGCGGAGGAGCACCACGCCAAAAGATCAGCTCAAAAACACTTCATAACGCACAGCTCCACTCAGCTCCGGGTGAGTTCCGCTTTTCATTTTATAGATAATATATACATGCGTTTGTTTGAGTGGGAGGAGTGGAAAAAAGAGCCCTTTTAACCGTTTTTTCCACTGATGTAAATATAATTAGGGACTTTAAAACGCTTCGCCTCTCACGGATCGCCACAAAACAGTTTATAAATATCAATGTTTGTCTCAACCCAAGCAGATTCATCAGCGATGAGCCGATGTTCAGGACGGGACATATGGCCCTGAGGTTTTAACGGACGACAAGGGCTTTATTTGTTGTAGTTTTGTGAGACTAAAGGCAGATGGTGGACTAAAGCCAGCGCGACGTTCACAGCTAACACAAGCTAATGCATCTACATGGCTTCACTCTAAATGTGATTCAAATCAGTTAAACACTGTGTGGATGAGCAAGGCGTGTTGTGATAGAGTATATTTGTGTGTTAGGTGTGTTAAAAGAGCGGTAGACAGGCAATATTATGTTTATTTGTGTGTTTTTGTGTAGCTGGGAGCTAACGCTAGCGCTTCACGGAAGTGTCTGATAACCAGCTGCTCCCTCTTACTTGTATACTTTTATTTACGTACTTTATTTAGCATAAACATAACGCACGTGCGTGCTGTGTTGGTGTAGCGCGTCAAAGCTAGTTTTTGTGTTGTTTTTAGTTCTTATTTCTCCTTTAGCTTTAGACTTGGCGTGGGTTCGGAAGATTGGCGTCTAAAATGTTTTTAAAATGCTTTAAATATCATTAAAGGGACAACAAGGCATTTTATTGATGTTTTTATAATAGTTTAGCACGTAGTAAGTAGGACACGCCTAGAAGGAATTAAGTTACTAAAACAAAAAGAGGCTTTTTAACCGCATACGTTTTATTAATCTTCCAGTTATAATAAGATCCAGTTCTTCAGTATTGCATCGTCCCATTACTTTACCAAAAACGGTGAAAAATTGATTTATAAGATATTAATACATGTAATTTTACTGTAATGTATTAAGGTTTTAAAGTTAAAAAATCAAATGAACTAATTAACTTTTTGTTTGTTATTTGTAACTTAATACTTGTTTTTTATCAGTTAGTATTGTAGTATTTATTTATTTTTTGCGTATTGTGAATATTATTATTTAATGGCTCAAATCGACATATTGATTTATAAAATTGAATCACGTATGTAGCTAGAAACTATAAATATACGGTGACTAATGCACTCTAGTGATGTCACTATTTTTTTACTGTGATATTCTGGCATCCAAAACTGTTTGATTTTTACTGTAAATGTAATTTTAAGTTCAATATGAGTCCAATATGTTTTGAAAGTTTTTGGTTTGTTCAAATGTTTTAGCAACTGTTTTAGAGTGTTGTAATAATAAAACGTTTTAGTGACTATATTTAAACTGGTTTTGAACTTAATGTTTGTAAGCATTTTAATGACTGAACTGTGTTTTTTTTTTTAAAACAGTGTTTTTAATCTGTGTTTTCTGGCGTGGAATCGGAGAGGAGGAAGAGGGGGAATCGTATAAGCCGAAAGGAAATGCCAATCGCCACTACTGGTCATTCAGCGTCTCGAGAGCCCCGCGTCTGTTCCCCGGACCCCGTTCCCAAGCGTGCTGATTTATGCGAGGACGCAGGGGCCCAGCCAGCGGAATACGGGGGTTCGGAGGGGGGCCACAGCCTGGGCAGCACTAGACTTTCTGGAGCACTCGAGAGCTCCTCTGCGGCGTCTCATTCCCCTCCCACTTCCCCTTTCCACCACCACCACCATCATCATCATCATCATCACTCCTATCCAGTGACTATGGAGCCACCCAGGACTCGATCACGCTCGCGGTCTGGATTTTACCACGGTGGATTACCTAACTCGAACGGTAATGCTGGGAGTGGCGGTGGTGCGTTAAGTCCAGCTGGAGGAATAAGCCACCACCACCACCAACAGCAGCAGCAGCAGTTCGGAGCTGCTCATGGACACATGGAAAACCTGCGCCCACCCGGGAGCATGCTTTCCCCAGGCGCCCACAGACACGCAGGGCCTGGAATGCACAGAAACTCCGGAGCAGGTAAGATGGGTTTTAAACCTCCAGTCTAATTTTGGGTTATGGATCTCATTTCATTTTGAGGGTGGACAATAAACATGTTTTTTTTTCTAACACTATCATGTTGTCCCATATTTGGTTGTAACATGGTTTACGGGGGCCAACTATCCAACTGTAGTTGTATTTGACCACATCTGACAGGATAGGGGGTGAAGATATCAAGGTATGGGCTTTACTATATTTAATTAGTGTAGTGTTGTTGTTGTATGGAATTCTGTTGGACTGATTGAACACTAGCCTATATTTATGGGGTTTCCAAAATTGCATTTTATATCAAATGTACAGTAAATGTGCACATCCATGCAACCTTGTATGACAGCCACTCAACACTACCTCACAAAATTACTGGTATAATTTGTATCAGGGATGTAGCAAACCTTATAAATGTCATTTTATGTATTTATGTATTCTTTTCCAATATTTGTTGTTATGACAATCAAAACTTTTTAAAATAAAACGATTCAATGTTTTTATAAAAATAAAAAATAAATAGCTGCAACTTCTGCAAGTCAATGGGTTGAATATGAAATGGATCTCCTTCATCAATGAATACCGTAATACTGTAAGGCAGGGCATTTCAGTCTTAAACTAGGTGTTGTGCCTCAGCTTCTTTTAAAAACTGGAAAGTTGCATGCAGGCTTCATGTGAGCTCTGATCTCTTCATAAAAACAAGAGTTAAAGCTTTGTCAGCAAGTATGTGAAGAACTCTGCAGACTTTGTGCTATTAAGGGTCACGATTGGGCGTCTTTCCTGAAGACAGACCAAATTGCACTCCTTATTACCTCGTTAATGTTTGCATAAGTTCTGATGAGCCTCACACCGATCTAAGCATTCCTATTGACTCTTAGCACTCCATGGTCCATCATAAGCGGCAGATTTGATACTGTCGTACTAGGGCGTGCAAGCAGAAAGACATGCATTCATTCAATTACACAAGCTGTGACTATTCTTCTCTGTTTTAGATGCCTAATGTTGTTATTCGCTGGTCCAAAATAGCACAGCGCTTTCCTCCACAGTATAGGACAATTGTTCCCTCCGACTTTAGGGTTTAAGTTAATAATTGACCTGATTGCCCCGTCTGTCCAATGGCATCACGGTGCTTTACGATTTCTGTATAGCCAAATGGAAATTCCAAAATATAAAGTGTTCAAGCCTCTGGCATCCTATTTCCTGCTACATGATGGGCTTAATCTGCCACAGCACTTCCTTTTTGACATGGACAACAAGCTGGTAGGAGCAGATGCACACGGGCACATGTGTTCATGCACCTAGAGTTAATGTAGCCACCGCTCGTATACTGTTACGAGATAGGAGCAGGGCTTTGATGACATACGCATGCAAAAAAAAAAAAAATTAACTCATGGCCACTATGGCCATGCATGCACGTGCATAGGGGGTGGATTCTAGTATCTCAGGTGTTGCGCTTTAAGCTCAGGTGTGTTTGCCCACTGGCAGTTGCTTTTTGTGGCTGAGCTGCGCAGCACACACACTTTACTAAAAAGCCCAGACTGGAAATACCTGTCTGATGGAGTGAGCGTCAAGCTACCTGCTTTGCCTGCCTGCTGCCGCCACTGCACCAACTAGTCTAGCACATGTGTGTCTAAGCTTTGTTTGGTGCCATTTGTCCTTAAGCAAGACTTCGCTCTTTTTCTGTCCTATGATTTGTCCTCCTGATATTTAAATGCATCTCGGGGTGAGCATGTGATATTAACTGGATGGATAATCAGAGGTACTTTACCTTATCGTGTATATGTGATATTGACTAGTTGGATATACAGTAGCTGTGTGTGTGTGTGTGTGTGTGTGTGTGTGTGTGTGTGTGTGTGTGTGATTTTGACTGAGATCAGATAGGCCGCTTTGATAATGAGAGAAGCTCGGCACACTGAAATCCCCTGAGTTCAACACCATCTGCTCTCAATACAGAAGCGCCCTCTCTCTCTTTGCCTCTCCCGCTCTCATTCCTCATCCCTTTATCTCTTTTGTCCACCCGATTCCCCCTTTCATTTTCTCACACTGACTTTCCCTGTCCATTTAACCTCCTGCATATTTCGTCCTCACATCGAACTCCTATTTGCCTGTAAATGCACATGTATGCATGCAAGGAGGAACCATGTTAGACCTCCTGAGGCTTTTTCTGCTGTAGGTGTTTGGTATTGTCCTCAGAGCTGAGCGGAGAGGGAGAAATAGGGCTATCAGGTCCCATAAAATCAATAGAGAAACGGATTTCTAGTGGGCTTGTCCTCGTGAGTGTGTGTTTGAGAATGCACTCGTGTGTGTACATGTGGACAGTTCAAGATCATTTGAAGGGTGTAGAATCCCCCCTGGGGCTGGTCCAGACCGAGCTCAGTTCTGCTGACTGTTAACAGAAATTCAGAGAATGTGTTGGAGGTGATCAAACGGATTAAGGATCTAAGGGGGCATTTACACGACACCGTTTTCAAACGGAAATCTTTTTGCGTTTTGGCTGTTCATTTACACGATAGTGGCGTTTTGAGGGGCCTGAAAACGCAAACTTTGGAAAACGTATTTCAAAGTGCAAGTTTTTGAAAACAACAACGTTTTCATCTCCATGGCAAATGACAAAATTTGGGTAATTGTGAAAACGGTGGCGTTATGCGAATATGCGCATGCTAGGCTTGCTGCGATAGTCTGTGTTGTCGGTGTTCATTTGCCCACTGCGCACCGCCCTCCACTGTCGTTTAGATTTTTTTTTATAGTAATAAAAATCCTTTAGTTCAGTTAGAGAATGCTCAATGGAGCGTGAGCCGAACGAGTGTCGTAGGACTCGTCTCGCAGCACAGATCAGCAGCAAGAGTCAGATTTCACCTCACTTCGCCCATTTCGGCTCACTTTTGGCTGACAAGATGGCAGAAGATTTGGTTTCAAAGCGAAACATAAAAGCACCTATTTAAGCGAGTTTGTCATTGTATGGTTTTGTTGTGTTTTTCATTAAAGGGGTCATATAATGCCATTTTTGTACAAGCTAATATGATTCTTTAGGGTCTAAATTAAAAGTTTGTAATATAGCCTACTTTAATTAAAAATTGTCATTAGTATTGTAAGAAAACACTTATTTTACCTGGTCAAAAACAGCTCTGTTTTCAGCACGCCGTTTCAGTGCATATGCCTTTAAATGATAATGAGCTTTGCTCACGCCGCCCCTCTGTTCTGTGCGTACACCGTTTGTAACACAATAACACAATAACCATAACGCGTTGTTCATTATAAACGTGGGATTATGAATTATATTGAGAACGTCGTACATAGAAAACATGCCGTAATGTACCCTGAGTGTAAACCGACGCATTCATGGTGAAGCGTGCAAGCGATTTGCAAAGATTAATATAAATATTAATATAACGGTTTATAAAACGTTACACTCATTTCAGTTCTTCTGGAGGTATAGCAGGAACACGAATAGTTGGTACCGATCCTTTATTCAGGAGCAGCTTCTTAGCAAAACCAGCTTTATACTGACCCTCGTTTATAAAGCAGTCTGGTGAGAAATGATTTGCGCAAACATGAGAGCATTCACGTTGCTCGTGGGGAATATTCCCTTCGAAAACAAACTCAGCCACTGCGTCTTCAGCGGTTCGGATTTAGGAACATAAAAATGACTGCTGTGTATCTTATTGCACCCAAGAACAGAACACCACAATCGCTTATAGGGCTGGGTTTCGATTCAAATTTCAAGAATCGATTAGAATCCGATTCTCAAGATCTTGAATCGATTATCATTATTCGATTCGATCCGATCTGATCCGATCTTCGAGATTTAGATAAGTGTTTTTGAAAAAGCTTTTTTTTTTCAGCTGTTACCTGAATTACAGGACTGTAGTTATGCAATTTATTATAGACATTTAACTGCAAATGAATGGAGTATTGATGGTTGTAAAGAACAATCCCCCTTCCAGAGTGTTGATACAACTGCTTTCACAAACTTGCACTGGTGTAGACGACAGAGGACGCAGAGGTATATCAGCAGCAGTACTAGGGCTGTCGCGATAACCGCAATCTTGTAGTACCGCGCTACTGACATGTCAACCGCAGAGGATTGCAAGTAACCGCAGCAACCGCGATATTCACGTTTTTTTATAAGGCTACACCCTTCTTGTTTTGAACTTCATGCATGCATGTGTATTGAATGTTAAACAAGTTCATAATGATAACAAACAAGACTGTTTATCGTGGTGATGTGTAGCCTACAGAGGCTTCGCACAGACAGTGAATGAGAGAGATCGGCAGAGCGCGTGCGATTACCTACGTCTGTCTTTGAAGTCATATGTATTCGTGAAAAAGGTTGCCGTGTCAAAGGAAAGCGAAATATTTGTCGTATCATCCTTTTCACTTTCACGTCACGGGTATTTACCATAAAGCCGCGGGGAAATAAAATCAGCGAGTCACGCATTGAATCAATGCCATATTGGTCTCTAATATGTGAAGCTTCAGCTTCAGCGTTACCCATGCGACGCATTGCTGCTCACCTGAGCCTTGAAAAGTGGAACTCAGTTAAAAATAATTAACATCGATTTTTTCAACACAGCCCTAATCGCTTAGACTCCATTCTGCTCATAGACAGTGCTCCAGCATATCAACAATGACCGCTCCAGTCAGCGTGGACTATGATTGACAGCTCGCTCACGAGTGAGGGCGGGTCTGTGTTGAAACACTGCTGTCAATAAACAATTGTGGGAGGGGCTTCCGTTTTATTGACGTCACAAAAACGAACGGCTCAATTTGAGGCAGGGGAAAACATATAAGGAGATTAAAAAAAAACACTGGATGGATTTTTATCATTATGATGGTTGTGTACAGGCACTGCCAACACACATTTCAGTACAATCAACTTGTAAAAGTGCATGTATCATTATATGACCCCTTTAAGAATAATAATGAACCCACCATTCAAGCAATTGCCATATCCAAATTGGCGCTAATTCGAGCGCATTTTACTTTCGAATTAG